TTACAAAACTTGTCCAATGCTACCTTAATAAGGTTCAGATTTTCGTGCACATCCAGTGTATGCTACGTTTAGCAGTTTAAGAAGTCCTACAGGCGATAGTGGTAATCTGGCTATGACGGTACAATTTCAACGCGCTATTATTTAGACGTTCTTACCGTATTGGTTTCGGTCTGAGTTCACGTGCAAGTACGATATATGCGGTTGAAAGTGCAGGTAAAAAAATGTGATTGTTGCTCTTTATTTGTTTTTGTTATTTTTTATAATCTCATTTTTATTTTATTCTTATTATTCGTTTTGTTGGGTGTGCTGAGGTGAGTCGCGCCCACAAATGTGGAAACGATGGCGGATTGCCCAGGATGGATGTTTTGAATGTGTGTGTGAGTTGGGGGGAAGAGGAGGGCCGGGTATGTTGTGGCCCGAGATGCCCCGCTGGCCCCTCCACGCCACGCCAGCCCTGCATATCGGAGAAGACATTACAGGATGGAAAGGGTGTGAGGTGGTGGAGGGGGAGGCAGCGGCACTGAGCGCAGAGGGAAGCACTGTTTCAGCTCCTGACTGATTTCATGGTAAACCGATTTCCTGTCCCCGCCACCGCAACCCTACTCAACTAAGCCTTAGCCCCGAGCGCCTGTGCAAATTGCCCTCTCTCTCTCTCTCCCTTTCCCTGTCACACTCACTCACTCGCTCTCGTTCTTTTGGGGCCCGCCCCATTTTTCGACCAGGGAGATTAGAGGTGTGAGGAGTGAGAATGACTTTCGGAACCAGCCCTGGAAAATAAGAGATGAGGAGGCGATGAAACTGCATACCGCCTCACCGATAAGAGAACGTTTTGGCGCGAAAATCGAATTGGAAGTAATTTACTGTAAACTAACGCGATAGGCCGAAACTCGTGGTAGGTCGTTATTACATGATCTGCCCTCCCAGCTCTGTCGACAAGAATAATCCTCACTATACTTTTCGAGAGCTCGTGTCTATAATTCAAATGTTCTTCGCCCTTTTTCTCGATTCTTGATAAAAATGTGACCCAAAACTAACACAAAGATGCTCTGCAAATCATGCGGTGTGTCATTTGACAGAATTCACTGTTTCAAAACAGTCGAAAGTAAATGCTCAATCCCAACTCCCGCCACCAGGTAAAAAAAAAGGAAAAAAGAAATAGCTTACTCCTCACCAGGAAGGTAAATAAGATCTACTGGACAGTACCCTGATTTTTTTGTATGATTTTTTAAAATTGATTTAGTGAAACTAGTTTTAAAACGGGGCAAGAAAAGGTTTATCTTGCTTTGATACAGAGAAATAAAAAAGAAACACAAGAAAAGAGAGCTCTACCCCACCCTCCTGCCCGGGGGGCCCCGCGCGGTAAACTTCGGAGTTCGGATGGGATCCGGTGCTTGTTCGCTTAAACGGACTTGGGGGTAGATTGTGGGTTGTTGGACTTACAGGTGTCGCAAGGTGAGCAAGACTGAAACCCAGATTCCGAGGCCTTACCTCCGAGGGGACTGTTATCTTTTTCTGTCCCAAGGGGTACGCGGGTATCGAACCCACAACCCCGAGTGCCGAATCCAATCGTCAGTGACAGCGACCCTGCCACCAAAGCTACCAAGCCAACGGAGTTGAGCCGTGTTCCGATTCTACTT